TCAATCAACAGACCTAATTTGCATTTCTGGACTAAAACACATTTCAGAATATCAGTCTTTTGGATTTTACAAATTTGTGAATTTTGTGATTCCACACCTGTCTCAAAATGTGTGTACTAAACTGTATATATTAGAGAAAGTTGCATAGAATTTATTTGCATGGTTCTGCAGTGAAAATATGCTAGTCTTCCTAGCAATGATGGAAAATATAGTAATCCTGCTAGAACTGACTAAAACAAGTAAATCCAACTTATTTTAGGGTGCTACCCTATGCATATTTAGACAAAAACTAAGATGGAGGAGGAGAAGTAAGCTGCCTTGAGCCCTTTGTAGGAAAAAGGCAGGATATAAATCAATCAATAAATGAATAAATGAATAAAGAAAGAAAAACTCCCAACATACCTTGCCCAGTCATGCTGCCTAAGGAATGTTGAGAACTGTTGGGTTCACTTTTGTCCAAAGCTATTTACTGTTTCATACTTAGTAAAATGTCTTAAGGAATATCATTTAGCCCTTCCTTGAGTTTTCTTGCTTTTACAAAGGCAGAATAATAATTGTGAACTGTGCTTCCATTTCTTCTCTGTAGAAGCTCTCCTCCTTAAAAGACCCTGGAGGATAGTTTTCATGTTTACCTGGACTGGCAACTCTTTCTTCATGGCAGGGGATCAACAAAGTTGTGCAGTGAGCACAAACATGGCCATAGTAAATTCAAAAGTTATGTCATGCTTGATCAATTAAAATAGTGAAAATTCAGGTATTCCTTTGCAGAACAGATATAAAGAAGACCAGAGTAAGTAAGATGGATTTTAAAAGCCTTTCAGGTTTTAAAGCAGACTTTGCTTAAGTGTGATCAGAGAGGAGAGAGCCATACTTCAGGATCAAAGCAAGACCATCATAAGAAACTGTATTTTTTCTGTGTGCAAATCCTGCAATCAGACAATTACATTGAGAGTGAACAGAATTACAAGAGCAGAAAAAAAGAAGACCCCCCTGCTCCCTTCTGTGGGTCTTTTGCATGGGTGGTCACCTCTCCCATCCAATGTGGATGTTATGTTTATCAGAACTATGAAAAGACATGCTGGACCAGAACAATGACCTGTCCAGCCCCAAGGTAGCCAATGAGTGACCCACAGGAAACCCTCAGTAAGACAAGCAACTTCCCAACTAGTAAATCTCACTTGCATGATGTGATTTGCTGTTCAATCTGCAAATAAATAAATAACTCTTAAGAGCATGTGCCCAAATTAGGTCTGTATGCTGGGCTGTATAATCAGAGTACTTATATAACTATCCAAAATCTGTGACTGCATCCTCTTCTGCTTTTATTGCCACAAAAATGTTCCCCTTTCGTCTTGAGGGTAAAGACCTAAATATACTAGCCAGACAAAAGGAAATGTCTTTTGTTGCTCGCAGAGACTGTAAGTCCCCTCAGAGCCAGACATGTGACAGTGACACTATGAAGCGAATTACAGGCAAGTTAAGAAAAGAGTTCCAGCTCATAACGAATTTGTGCCTTAAAAAGCACTTCAAAGCAAGTTGGGCCCAAAATTTCCAGCCCTGAAATTGTTCTCATAGTCTAGTCCCTCAGCATGACTTTTCCTTCTCTCTTCAGGACTGTGTACCTCCTAAATCTGCTTTGGAGGGTTAGTAGATCCTCCTGAATAAATTGGGAGGTGGATGTAGGGAAAGAGGAAAACCTCATCTTCTCACTCCGGATGTTGTAATTTAACTCAGCTGAAGTTTCCAATAGTGCCTGAAAAAAACCCCACTTGTACAGTTGGAATCCAGCCTTCTGGAATCTATTCCTCTTTTGTTCATCGGAGTTCATGGGCTCAGAACTTCGCTTAGGAAACGAGCTGAAGAAGACCATGAATGCTTGTGGGACCCCAGTTGTGCAACTGGCAACCCTCCACAGCACGTGCGACTCAAGCAAAGCTGCAAGTCACATCCATGGGAGAGGGATGCATGGGAGAGGTCCTGAGGTCTTGATTCCCGGCAGGAGCCCGAGCAAAAGACTCAGAGATGTGAGAAAGTGACTGGAGTCTTGAGAGACGAGCAGTGACAATCTGACGGCCTCCCACCCTCCAAAGCAGATTCCTCACACATTCCTACCCATGTAGAATTGATTCCAGTAACTGGAATGGAATGTGGAGCCCAGTGGAAGAGGTGCAAGATACCCCACTCTCTGCTGAGGTAGGGTCCTAGCAGCTCTCCCTCCATTCCACCAATGTGCCCACCATGCAATATGGCTGGTGTGGCACTCCAGAATGCTCAGCAGGCTGAAATACCTTCCTTTGAAGGTGCCCTTTCCAGGATAAAGCAGGCACTCTTAAGGGCCACCTCTCTCACAATGCCTAGCCCTGAGAAAAACCTCTCCTCGGAATGATGAATATGGTCCTCGAAGCCTCTCTGGAGAGTCACGCCAGCCTCTGTCTTCCCTCCAAAACATTGCTGAGTGTGATCAATCTAGAGTTCCAGGAAGGAGTAGACAGGAAACCTCTTGCTGCTAATAAGGCATCTATTATCTTAATAGATTTATCTATTATCTTAATTAATACTCAGTAAACAAAGCATCTATTGAAAAAGTCTTCAGCTGGGTGCAGTTTTGTGCTTTATAATACTATAATTAGTAAGACAGAAAATGAGTTCTTTTTTTTACTATTATTAAAGTATAAGCTCTCAAACATAAAGTTAAAACAATACATATTGCATAAGATTTTAAAATGAAGGTGGTATTCTAATGGAGGACATGGCTAAAGATTTTCGGACTGTAATAGTTCATTTTGTCATTGACAGCTGAATAATCTAAAAAACCACATTTCCTACTGCTGCTGTGCATGGATGCAGCAGTTTAATGAGCTTCTGGATAGCAAGGAAAAGCCCCAAGGTCAAAGTCAGAGCTTGGCCTTCTCTCCCCCCCCCCCCTTGCAACTGGTGTGGCAAGAACAGGACTAGCTGTGTGTTGAGATCATAAGACCAGCACTGGGGAGGTGGTGAAGGAGACATCTGGGGGTGGACATCAGTGGTGACACAGTCCATCATGATTCAACATCTGAAGCACCCCAGCTAGATGTCCAAAAGTGGCCCTCTGGCTGATTCGCAAGACAGAAGCCGCAGGGAGAACAAGATCATCTGGCAGCCTGGGAGGAATGCGAGGCAACCTTTGCCACCGCACTCCTTCTGTGCTGCTAAGATGCCCACAAGGCTCTGCATTCAGAGGCCGATCAGAATTCTCCTTAGCCTGCACTTGAAATTCTTTTAGTACTCATCATTATAACTTATGGTCCCTTAAATTTGTACTTTCAGTCTTGATCTTCAGTCAAACAAAAACCAAATAAACACCCTTCAAAATTAAAGCATACAAAAAGTTTCTCTCTCTCTCTCTCTCTCTCTCTCTCTCTCTCTCTCTCTCTCTCTTTCTCTGTGTGTGTGTGTGTGTGTGTGAGAGAGAGAGAGAGAGTCACACACACACAGTGGGAGAGCACACGAGTGAAAGTGATGTAGCTATACTGATGTAGCTATACTGAATTAGGAACCGAGAGTGTAAATGATCAGTTACAAAACCGAAGATGGAAGCCACAGACAAGGAACGAAAGCAGAGTAAGCAGGATGGTAGTTAATGGCTTCCCCTGATTATTCTTCGGGGATTTAAACAGACATTGCAACACAGAGTCAGGAGAGGGAGGCAAGGCAAGGCCATTCCCATGCACTGAGAAAAAGGTCAAACTGAATGGTGAGATACATGGCAAAGGGAATTATGAGGGGAAAGGAGGAGATGGCCCATGGGGTCAGTGGCACAGTGCCAAATGGGGAAGCGGACAGACACACCCTGATAGCTGTCAGGCGAAATTGGCCAGTGATGTATGTGAAGAGAAAGGATAAGACATGGCAGCCAAGACCAATGGTGGGACAAATGAAGGAATGAATTGGAAACTGTGTCTACAATGTAAATGGTAGAGCATCTAAATAAGTGTGAGAGAACCCCAAAGTCAGCAACTGCCAAGTTGAGGGAGAAGGTGGTGAAAGGGCTCCCCTTTGTGTGGAAGCCAAGGAGGAAGGTGACCATTCTATCCCCCATAAGCCCAAAGCAGCAGTGAGATCTTCACATTTGGATCTCAGTTCATGGCTTGCTCATCTCCCGCTTGACTTCTCTATGGTGATCCTCTACAGATCTCTTCACTTTCTTCCAGTCATCTTAGCTATATCACACAGTTACCACACTTTACTTTGTAAAGGTTTCCAAGACACTATCCCTGCCTTACCCTTGGATAGTGCCGCTACAAAGCTTCCAGAATCCAACCCTCTTCAGTTAAGGGATTGCCTTTTGTGCTTGCTCTGCCCTAGGAAGTGAACTGAGCTAACAGGAAGTTTGCGAATGCTATCAGAACTGTGGTTGCACAACTGGCAACCTTCTTCCATGTCATGTCCCTCACAGAGGCTGGAAGTCACATGCATGGAAGAGAGGTGCAGCTTCTTCGGTGATCACACAGGGCTCATTGCCCAGGGAGTGCCACATGATCTGACCCTTGGAGCATTCATCAAGAAGCTGAACTCATGAGAAAGTGGGCCATTGCACAGAGGAGACCTTATGGATTCCCATCTCCAAAACAGGTTCCTCACAAATCCCTGCCCTTGGACCTTCTTTCTTGGTATTCCCGGCTCCCTCCAACTTCCATAACCTCATCTGGCTAAAGTTCATCTGCTGTATTAAGCAACTCTTCCTGTTCTCCACTTTTATCATCAGTCACCATCTGTACCTTTGATAACCATCTTCGCAAATAACTTTGACTTTTCCAGTTGTAAAAAGGGTTTAAGTATATATAACTGGTTACAGAAATACTGTGCAACTAGATTTATATTATACATTAACTCTGTTTGCGTTGCAATTTTGGAATACTGCATGTTCTATTTATTTTTTGGTCTACTGAATGCAATACTTTTGATTAATTGATTGAATGATATGTTACATTAGATAATGTATATTTCAGGAGGCACTTACAATCAGAGAAAAGGTAATGATTTATTTACCAAATTTGTGACCCATCATAGCAACAGAAATGGCGCTCAAGGTGTGACTAATGACATGCAGATTAAACAGCAAATTACAACATGCAAGTTCACTGAATAAAAACACACCCAATAAATTATTATAATGCATCAATAAGAATCAAGTAACATTTGCCATAATAAAAAGCTAGTTCATCTGCAATTAGCTGAGATGTTGACATTTGTCTGAATAGAAATCTTTTCACCTCCCAATTGAAGGAAAGAAAAAAAATCAACAAAATCTAAATTATCTTGAGGAGTCCCATTTTTGGTGCAGTCCTCAAACATTTCCTTGGAAAAAAAAGATGGTTTATGTTACATGGCATGAGTTTAACTTAAATTAAATTCTGTCTTCATCCTCACAAAACAGTTCAGATCTTCTCTGGATATGATCAAGCAAGGCAGTGAAGGCAGGATGAATCACAGTCTCCTGGCTCTTAACTGTGAAGGATACGTGTCCACTGATATTACATGTAGGTCCACTGTGAAGTCTTTGAATGTGTCTTGCCCTGTTTTCCATGGGCATCCTTTCTATCAGTGCCATCAAAGAATAGACTGTCCTTTGAACAAGAATTACAGGTTGTGTCCCTCACTTTGTAGTTTTCTACCTCCAAATCCAATGAATTTTGGGCAAAAGCAGCCTTCCCCAGTGTAGTCTCCTTCAGTCACTTTGGATTGCTATTCCCATCACCCTGGATCTTTGGCCATGCTGGCTGGATCTGATGAGATATGCATTTCAAAGTATCTTGTGAAAGGAAGATTAGGAAGGAAGCTGTACCTAGAGCCTTCCTTGGAAGGCACAACAAAAGGATATTGGTCTCTTAAGGTATCAAATCCTCCTTGCAAGAAGAAATCCACCAAGTCACATACTACAGATCAAGTTCTGGCCCTCAGTGCTAAATATCTGCATGCAGCTGAAGGCTTACATTCTATGCACATTCCACAACCATAGTCCATGATCAGTGCAGATCAAAAGAAGGCTACATGCAAACCAACACAATATCATTCTTGAGGGCATCAGATCTTACTTTCAGAAGTTTCCATATCTGTTGAGCAGTTGTCTTCCTCCTTGAAAACCTTCTGCAATATTTCTTTCATGGTCTTCCTGGTGCTTCCCTTCCTCTGTCTCCCAACCAAGAAATAGATCAGTGGGTTAATGCTGCTGTTTATACAGGCACATAAATAGCCGTAATGCACAAGATTTGGATGTATGTTATGCAACAAATAAATAGTAAAGTAAAAGGCATTCAGTGGAAAAGCCAAGATCAAGAAGAAAAGGAGAGTAAGCAAGATGGCTATTAAAAGCTGTCCTCGCATCTTTTGTTTGGATATAAGATAAACTTTGATGAACAGGGTCAGGCTGGAGATTGTCATGAGGGGGAGACAAACCACGGCATTTACAATAAACTGGTACATTAGGGGGGCTTTTCCAAAGCCGGTCGTAAGTGTAAGAGTGAAGTGAATTCCACAGATTACGAAGGAGAGGGTCCATATAACAGCACATACAGTGGTGAACCAGTGGGTTGGACGATGGCATCGGTACCAAATCGGGAAGAGGACAGACACGCATCTGTCAATGCTGATGATCGTTAGCAGAAATTGGCCTGCACTATACATAAAGAGGAAGACACTTTGGAACAATTCATAGGGGAAATCGCAGTACACGTGTTCAAAAAGCCAGTGGATTTCTATTGTCAGTTCAGCTGTGACCAAACCAAAGTCAGCAATGGACAGGTTTAGAATGTAAAAGGCAAACGTATTTCTCTTAATACCAAAGCCAAGCAGCCGGATGACAAGTCCATTCCCCAAAATCCCCAAAACACAAAAAAGCATTGTGAAGATGGCAAAAATAAGCACTTCCTCATCCAGTCCTGGATCATAACAGGTTGTGTTCTTCTTTGTTGAGACCATTTTATTTAGGGTTCCATTAATGCCCTTTATGGCATCAAAAACAGGCAGAGATGTTGAGCTGATATTGGCCATTGTGTTCAATTGTTCTGTTTGTGCTTCTTAGATATAATATAATCCTGCTGGAAGGAAAGAAATATAGGTAAAATTAGTCTTTGCTATGGAGCAGAGCACTAAGAATGTTGGAAAAGCTACTGGATCAGACCAAGGTTTACCTTGTTCAACAGTGAGCAACCAGTTGTCCATTGGTGGCACAGAAATAGTTCATGAGCACAAGAGATCTCTCCCACCCATGTTCCACAGCAACTGTTGTACCTAAGCACACTGCCCTTTACACTCAAATAGCAAATTGCCAACAGGACTATCAATCATGGATAGCCTTCTCTCCATGGGTGTGCCCAATCCCTCTTAAAGCCACCCAAAGTAGTGGCTATCACTACATACTGTGGAAACAAATTCCATCGTTAACTATGCACTGTGTGAAGTAGTACTTCCTTTTGAGCTTTCCTGATTCTCTCATTGATCCTGGGATCCTTCTAGTATTATGGGAGAGAGAGAGAGGAGAGGGAGAGCGTCACATCATGCATAATTTTGTGCATGCCTATCATGTGCCCCTCTCTCACCATTTGCCTGCACCAAGCAACCTCTCCCCCAGACCCTTCAGCATCTTAGTTGCTCCTCTCTGCACATCAGCCTTGCTTCTCCTCTCTTTTGTCCAGTGCTGCAGCTGCCCTTCCAGGGCCCCCTCCTTGGAAACTGCACTGTTGGTGAAGACTCTTACCATTTGTAGGGACAACAAGTGAGGATTTTGGGGGAAACCCTCACAACTGGCAAACGGGAGGCACTTTTACAGGGGGCAACTTTAAGCTGCAGCAGCAGGAATTCTGCTGGTTTGGTGCTACGCTTGTTGGAGTCAGTCTGCAGGCGAAGTACATGGAAGGCATTAAATGGAGGAGACACTTTGGACTGCCTATGGCAAGGGAATGCTCAAGCAGCAGCTCCCTTATGCCAGCCACTGACAGGCACTGAAGAAGGGGAGCTATCCATGGGTCCATCCAACCCCATATTGGCAGCTCCTCATGTCAACTGCTTTCCAGGGCATCGGAACTTCAAGCAATTCCTTAGCATGCAAGGGCAGGCACAGATCAGAGAGATGATCACAGGTGAGAGCCTGCAGCCAGGTCCCCTCCAAGCCAGAGAGCTAGCGGGAGGTCTATTCTCTCAGCATTCACCTGAAGTTAAGACACACACCCCAAGCAGTTGCTAAAATGTCATATTTTTGCACTTGGCAGATATTGTTGGGAATAGGAACCTGGGACTCATTTATATGCCCTGGATGAAGGGTAAAAACTGCTGGAAGCAAAAATGCTAGATGTTTCCCCTCCAAAGGATTAGGATGCACTGGGGGATTCAAAAAAACTCTCTCCCTACTTGAGGCAAGTCCTGCCCATAAAGAAATAGTAACCATAAGTCCACTGAATGATCTTTTTAAAAAATCCATGCAGTATTCATCTCTCAACTGCTCTTGAGAGATGAATACTCAACAGAGAGTGTGAGAGAGATTGCAAAAGGCTGCATTTCTACCTGCCAAAAGATTAGAACAGGTGGAGGTCGTGAGGAGATGCTGCTCCTCCTCAGGTGACTACCTCTATGAAACTCCTACCAAGATTATACTTCTTGGTAGTCACCTTAAATAGGTGACTCAGGGGGAAATGTACATGCTGAGGTTTTCTAACTTGTTTTGTTCTTAGACTCCGAAAATAGAGATATGAATAACACTGAGGTCAGGGAACAGGAAAATCTTAAAAGGCTGATCGTCTCACTCCAATCATCTGATCAAGTATCTTTGTGTGCATGGTGCACAGCAGAATCACAGAGCCTGAAAGGAAAGGTTCCTGTGTGATGAAAGAACCTCTTAACCATCAAAGGGGGCACAGCAGAAACAGTAGGAAGGGAGATAAGATAGATTAATGTGAAAAAGAAAGTTAGAGATTATTCGGCTTTATGTGGGTTAAGGTAACAGCTGGGGCAGGGTTTAGAGAAAATACTGTCTTGAAGGAAGCACGAGAAACAAGACAGAGAGGGATTGAATTACCTTCTTCAAGTCACATCCACTTGCTCACAAATCAGTTAAGCAGATTTGAGATGCTCTCCTTCTATAACTTCTCCTCTCCTCTCCTCGGGGAGAAACTCGTCCACCCACACTATGTAATGAATCTTTAGCCAGAGAAAAGTTTTATGCTGCCACTGCAAGGGTGGGCGGGATACCACTGTCTGCCAGGAAGTGTCATCAGCTTCTTTTTTTTCTTTCTTTCACAATTCCCCAACCAGGAAATGAACCTCTGTTGGTTCCGAGCCACAGTGTGCTGTAAACATGTCCTCATACAGGCATGTACAGACTTCAGCCTTGTAGCAAACAATTTCAACTTTGCTAGATCCCAGAGTTCCACTAAGGAGAGTGATGTGCAAATGAAAGCTTAGAAGTCAAGTCAGATGCAATGTACTGGATCAAGGGATGAAGCCAATCACGTATGGAGAAATGCCCTGCTTATGCAAATACAAATCTGCGAGTGGGTTTTGATAGGCCAAGGATTCTCCCACTAACACTGCGAAGTTGTTCTACATATGCAGAAAGGGCTTTGAAGGGAAATCTTGTGGAAGTGTGGAACTGAATCTACTTCAAGTGATGTTGAAGGAAGGCCCTGTAGCTCAAATGGAAAGGAAGGAGCTCGGCAAATTACATAGCAGGGTAATAAAGGGTCAGAGAAATTCTGGAAACTTTTGTTGAAGAATGAGAACTGATTTTGTTATTTGGGTTCTTTTCCTCCGAAGCAGGAAAAAAGATGCAATTTTCTGGCACACAGAAAAGTATCAGTCCACCCCTTTGATATTATTCCCTTCTTCTGAAGTCAGCAATGTACAGAATAGGACCACAAAGAGGAAGGAAGAAGAAATCTGAGCATATACAGAATAGACTTTTTAAGGTTACGAAACTTTTTCCAGTATACTCTTTGGAAAAGGGGAAAACAAAGATAGTGGCAAGTTGAATGAAGGGCAAAGGTGAAACAAGAAACTGTTCATGTTTATTTGTATTAATTGCACTAAGAATTTGCATAACAGTTCCTTTTTGTGAGCAGAGAAAATACTACAGGGCAGTTCCTCTTTTCTGCCTGTCCAAAAAAGAAAAAAAAAAAGGAAGTTGGACCAAATGCTGTAATTTTCTAACTGTATGGATAACATAAGATATGTAACAGATTATTGCAATGTTTGTAGAGTTGTTGGACTGAGGATCTGTCTTCCACTGATGGAAGGTTTCTGTTGACTGAGTTTTGGGGTTCCTTCTTTTCCTCAACCCTGCAGCTCATGGCATTCAGTGGGGTCCCACTACACTCAGTATAGTTTTCAGAGGCCTGGAGGGACTCCTGCAGAATGAGGTAGCAGAGAATTCAGTTCCATCCACCAAGTTGCATATGCCTAAATCATGATCCAACCGAGAAACAACCACCTGTGACACCTTGCTTCAGAATTAGGGAAACAAGCGAATCTCGGTTGATCATTGTACCAGCACTACTGAAGGTCACCTCCATGAAGGTTTCTTCTCATGAACACCTGTCAATACCAGCAGCCATTCCAGCACAGGGATGGGCAAGCATGTGATGCTCTAACCCTTTCTACCTCGCCAGCTTGCTCTTTTAAGCTGCTGCATTTCATTCTTTATTGCTAACTGCCAGCATTTTTAAATTGGAAAAATGAGCAGGGGTTGTGTGAATTTAGTGTTCGCTTGTTTGCAAAGGACATGTTTTCTCAACTGAAAATGCTTGGACGTGAGCAAGGGCCTTGAGGCTGCTCACCAAGGTTCACCTGGTCACAGACTTCCATATTATAGTATGCTGTACTATATTCCTATTTAAATTTACATTTTAGCTAGAGTTATGATCATGGCTAAGTCTGATTCTGGAGATACAAGTCAGCACATGCTAGTTTTATACAAACAGGTGCCATCTTTTTGGGTGATGACTCTCCTTGCAGTGTAGTGGCTTGAGGCCTGGCTATCTAAAGGACTGTCTGAACCCATATATACTTGTACCTGCCTGCCCCCTTCGATCAGCCCAGGAAGCCCTTCTACAAGAACCACGCTTCAAGGAGATGTGAAGGGCGGCAACTAGGGAAAGGGCCTTTTCCGCTGCGGCTCCCCATCTCTGGGACGCCATCCCTAGGGAAATTTGCCTGGCATCATCTCTATTGTCCTTTCAGCGCCAGGTGAAGACAAACCTTTTAAGGATTTTTTTAACGTTTAGCCTGTATGCTGTGGACCCTTTTAACTGTTTTATAGATGTTTAATTCATTATGTTTTAATTGGTTTTTAATGTATTTTTACCCTGTTAGTACAATTTGCGTTGTAAGCCAGCTAGGAAGACCTCGGCAATTATAGGCTGCCTATACATATATGTAAATAAATAAATGTTAGCCATTCTAAGCGTACAAGTAGCTTTGGGAGAGCCTGTAAGCTTTAGTCTATCTTTCAGATTTCTGGGTGGATTCTCACCCTCAGATGTTGATGGCTAACAACTTCTGTATAAAACACCCTGTCAAGATGTATTTAGCCTGAGTCTCGGGGTGGACTTCAACCTGAGCAGGTAGGAAGATCTCCTCCATCATCCTATCCAAGGAGCATTGCAGGGCTGATGGAAGGCAGGGGAAGATGGAGGGTTTCAGCTACAGGTTGATAAATTTTCCAGACACCAGGTCTAAACCCTGAAAAACAGCAAAGAAGTAGGCTTGGCCACACACATTTCTCAGAAGGCAAGTCTGCCCCTCTCTCTAAAGACCAAACATTCCACACTGAAATACCATGATCTGGTTCAGATGACACAACAGACCAAAAATGGTTTAAAAAACCACAAAAAAACAAAGAACAAAACACCATTGTGATGTGTGACATGAACTTTCTCAAAGTACAAGACTTCTCAGTCTTCTGTAACCCGTGGTAAGATAGCATGTGTAGGTGAGATGCTAACTTATAAGCCTGAAGTAAGCCATCCAGAGACGACAGTAATGGACGGCATACAAATCTTTTAAATAAGTAGGTAAGTAAGTAATTCAACAGAAAGAAAGAAAGAAAGAAAGAAAGAAAGGAAGGAAGGAAGGAAGGAAGGAAGGAAGGAAGGAAGGAAGGAAGGAAGGATAGCAGCCAAATTAAAAAAACACCAGAATGTAAATGTATACTGAAAAAATATTGGTTACAGGGTCCTTTAAAAAAATCTGAATGGGTAAAACTTGTATAAAAGGCAGAACCTTTAGAGTAGGCTGATAACAATAAGCTGGGTTCAACACATGAAGCCAAGTTGACTGGATTATGTCTCTATTTCATCCCCATGGCTTCTGAGCAATATCTCTATCAGAAGATCAGCGATCTTCTCTTGGAATTCTCTCTCCTTTCTCCACAGCTGCTTATTCCTTCCTTTTTCCATTCCTTCTGACTTTTCCTAGTTCTGCCTTGGGCTTCTCTCTGTTACAGATCGCCCATCCTCTTGTGACCCAGGGAGCCTTACTTTAACCTTCAATTCTCTGTGAGGAATCACTGCAGCTTCCTCGGACCATTTTGTAATTGCTGCAAACCGCACCTGACTTTTCTTTCCGTGTTGTTCCTCCAGCACCAAAAGCTGAGCAAACATTTGCCTTTAACTGGACCTCCTGGTTTGGAAGGCAAGCCAACACTGGATGCTATCTGGTCTTGGCAGGTAATAAATACATTTTCTCTTCCTTGACTGGTTTATTTTCTCCGCCTGTTGAACATGCATCTGTTTGGAATGTGGGGTTGGACTGAAAGGCAATAAGAATGTTTTGCTGGGTGTTGTGTGTCTGCCGTGTGAGAATGAGAGTGTGTAAGGTGATGTACTTGGCAGGTTAAGGGATGCATGGTGCTTGGTGTGTGAGAGAGTGTTTTAAGAGTTTTGGTGAATGGTGCTTGGGTGCTATTGTGCAAAATGACAAAATAATGGGGAAAATGTGTAAAGAATGCAGCTGCTGAAATTTTGGGGGAAAGGAAAACAAACAAAAAAGAGGGAGGGTTGGTCTACCTTGTTTGCTAAGAGCACCCCGTTATTGAGAGATAGCAACTGTAGCCTCTTCTCTGGGTTTGGTCTGGCCAACTGGATTCAGGGAAACATGTCCTTGAAACTGGATTTCTTGACTCTGCGGGCATTGACTATCCCACAGAACCAAAAGGGGGATGCTGTGGCAGGAAGGTACCACCACTTTGTGAGTGCTGCAAAAGGAGCACAGACACAAGAGCCTTTGAGCATGGGCAGAGTTCAAAGTACTTTGGGAAGTTGGAGCTGCACTGCTTCCAGCCACAGGTTGGAGGCAGGCTTGCTCTGTTTCTTGAGACAGGTCCTGGAGTGTCTGGAGAACTCTCGGGGGAGGTCTTGGGGTGTCTAAAACAAAAGCAGTGTTGTGTGGCTGAGGCAGGGTGCTCTGGGTGCCTGAGGCTCTCTGAGTGTTCAGGGTTTGTGCTGCCTTGGAGCCATCTGCATGAGTTGGGTTGAAGCGGAGGGCCCTTGAGGAACCTTCTACAAGTGGTGTTGTGGACATGCATTAACTGTTTGTGCTGGCCATCGGGAGTTTTCCTCTCTGGTGGCTCCCTTTCTCCCGTGCGGCAAGGATCTAGGTCTAAAAAAAGAGAGAAAATGTTCTGAATTCTGAGTATATCATCTTGTTGCTGTTCTACAACTGTATGATTGGAGAGGAATGGATGAAACTCGGGCTGTGTGTGTCTGTGTGCTTGTGTGTACCCGTGCGTGTGTGCCTGAAGTGGGGAGAGGGGATTTCTTTTCTTTGAATCCCTATGAGGCTACTTTCCCCTGTGGGTTCAACAGAAGATTTATTTATTTATTTATTTATTTATTTATTTATTTATTTATTTATTTGGAGAACTTATATGCCGCCCCATTCGCATAAGCCTCGGGGCAACTTCCAAACCATAAATAAAGAGAATCAATACAATTACATAAAATATTGGAGACATCCTGGCAAAAAAATTGTTAAAAAAACAATAAATAAAATTAACAATTAAAATAACAGTTAAATAAAAAGGTCTTGGCCTGGTGCCGAAAAGCAAATAACGACAGTGCCAGGCGGACCTCTCTGGGGAGCGTGTTCTATAAGTTGGGCGCCACCACAGAGAAAGCCCTCCTCCGAGTACTCACCCTCCTAATGTCCTTCATGGAGGGTTCCCAGAGAAGGGCCTCTGCCACCGATCTCAAGGGGTGGGAGGGCATATATGGATGTAAGCGCTCCTTCAAGTAACCAGGTCCCAAGCCATTAAGTGCTTTATAGGTCATAACCAGCACCTTGAATTGGGCCCGGACTTCCATGGGGAGCCAGTGGAGCTGATGGAGGACTGGAGTTATGTGAGCACAATGTCCAGTTCCCTTCAGCAACCTGGCAGCTCTACTTTGCACCATCTCAAGTGTTCCCCCTTTTTTCTTTTTTGCAATGTTGCCAAATATTTTTGATCAGGCCCCAACATTCACAAGGAAAGGAATCTTTAGGGTGTTTTTGACACCAGCATTATAGGGGAAAAAATGATGGTGGTAAAGAGAATTTTCCTTATAGTAGTCTAATGTTGGGGGCTGAGTCCCTTTGCTAGTCCAAGGATGTGGGTAGCTAGAAAGGCAAAGAGGCAAAACTTTCCTAGAA